CTTAGTCTTTCCTCTTCTTCACTCTTTCCCACAGGTATCCATGTCCTGCCTCTCACTTTGTTCATTTCTCTCCTCAAGATGCCCCTGGGTCAGAGAGGACTTCCTTGAGCACTGGGTGAAAATCACCACCATCATTACCACTGTAGCTCGTTTTCTCTTTATTCTGTTTTAAATTATTGTTAACAATAGGTCTATTTGATATTAAATTGTTCATGTTTAACTTATTTGTTATCTTTTTATCCACTAATAGGCAAATTCCACAATTGTACTCTCCAGCAGATGACTATTTCTCACAAACTAGAACAATGCAAGGTACACAGGTGAAATTCCAAAATATTCTTAGTGAATAAATTAGTTCAATATGCCCATATTTCTTCAAGTTTAAAGTCAGAAGACTGAGTCAATGACTCTTAAAGATTCTGGGATTTTAGGTATTTAGTTTCTACAGGCAGAACAAAACAAGAGACATACACACAACTCTAAGAAAATGTAAAAAGATTAGAAAATGATTTGAGGACCTCCTGTGTTTGGTCTCCATTCCACCTTTCCAGGAAGTAAAGCAAACCCTTGACTCCTATTCGCTGAATCAAATATCTCAACAGGACACGCCCACAACACCCTACCCCAGGGACGGCTGTTCAGAGGGCATGGTTCCAACTGCACTTTGGGGAGTAAAAGATGGACAGCAACAAAGCTGTATTACCCAGCAATCTGGTAGGTTCCTGGTTTCACCACATGACAAATGGAAACTGCAGTTCATGATGTCATGTGGAGTCCATGCTGGGCAGAAGGCACCTGGAAGACAGCTCAGGAAGGATGGCTGTCTAGGGGCCATAGAATTTGCTAGATATTTATAACAGATACCTAGAAGAACTAACATAGGGCAGCTAAATCAAATGACAAGTGCAAAAGACAACAATGAATGCCTTTATTTCATTATCTTGTTTTCCAGGGTGGTTCATTATTTAAGAAATAGCTTTGATGTCTTTTTGAGAACTGGGAAGAAAGCCATTTCCAACTGTGTTTAGGAACTACATAAAAGCAATAGTCTCCAGAACCAAGGTATGGAGGGCAATTTACTTCAAGAAAAGTGAAATTAAGTCTTAAGTGACTCATGAGGCTGACCACATACTTCTGCATAAACACTGATTTTAATAAACACTGGTCACTGAATATGTGAATGTTTAATACAGAGCAGAAACTACAGAGTTTAGTCTTCCAGGAGCTGCCATGTAGTCTACAGAGGCCTGTGTAGCTTTCTTTTTGTTTGTATTAGGGGCAGTCATATATATTACCAGGTGTATGAATTGTATTTTCTGAAGGTTCCTTTCAGACATATATTATCTGCAAAATAGGTTCTATTTATCAGAACACAAACACTATCACAAAGAAAATGTTCTTCCTATGAAAGAGAGAAGATCCTACTCTTCTAATTTTCTATAAGGCAACTGTTTCATTAAAAGGAACCTACAGTTTACAATTATGACATGAAAATAGACTACTTGTCTCTAGACAGTTTTATGTGGTGCTTAAGTGATTCCAATGACAATGGGAGAAATGGTGTTCCTGGTGCTTTTCTAGGCACGAGTGGGTCTTGGTCACTTATAGTTCCTCCTTGCCCTCCCTTTTTACCTTTGAGATCTCCTAGTGACAGAGGTAGAGACTGTGAGCCGTCCATTGGTGGTTCTTGTTAAGGATAAGGAAATGACAAAAATACACTCATTAACGATGGATGGCATCCAATAGGGCTATCACGGCAGATCGCTAGCTCTTTCCTCCCGCTTCAGGACATTTTGACTATATGTGTATCTCCCTTTAAACCTCTGCCCCAAAGGCCATAGTGTGGGAAGCCCTTGTGAGGCTGTATGTAGGCTGGATCCAGAAGCCAGGAATTATGGGAGGTCTGTGTCCTGCTCCTGTCTGTCTCTCATGAGCACTTTAATTCTGCTCAGGGGCTCTCCCCACCTTCCCACATCCTCTCCACCCTTCCCTCCCAACTCCAGTTACTCCTAATACCTGCTTCCTTATGCTATAGACATGCACATGAATCGCAGTGATTTTCTCAGAACACCAAACTAATCTTTTGAAGCTTTAGTTCCCATGGCTAATTCTTGTTTGTTTGGGGTTTCTAGGTCTGAGGATCCAGAAAGGAAATTTGATTGGTCATGCTCAACATTTGTTTCCTTTTGTTTTTAAACAAAGCTTTGTAAGGATACTGTTTGAAAATTAACTAATACATAAATTTACTCATTTCAAGAATACAGCTAAAAATTTTTAGTAAGGGTGCAGTTGTACAACTGTCCCTTCGTTTCCACTGACATGAAAATCTTCCTTTAATCTTTCATATGTCAATACCACCTCCACTTCCAGCTGCAGGCAGTTAGCTATTTTTGTTCTAAAAATGTCTTTTTACAAATAATATGATTTGAAAATGGGCAACAGACCTAAACAGACATTTCACAAAAGAAGGCATACAGATTGCCAGCACATATATGAAAAAATGTTCAACGTCACCAATCACCAGGGAAACGCAAATCAAAACCACAGGGAGTTAGCACCTCGCTCCAGGAGGAATGGTTCAGGGACAGAGATAGCAGGTGCTGGTGAAAGCATGGAGAAAAGGGACCCCGTACATTGTTCCTGGGTGAGGAAAGTAATTAAGACATTGTGGAAAATAAAAAAAATCTGAACAAATCAAAACTGTTACCACCCTATGACCCAGGAGCCTTACTTCTGAGTCTATCCAGAGTAAAATCAGTATGTCAGAGATGTAGCACTACTCATGATAGCCAAGAAATGGGAACAACCTAAGTGTTCAAGTGATGAATGGATGAAGAAAATGTGGTGCATATACACAGTGGAATGTGATTCAACCCTAAAAACATATAAAACTTTACCATTTCCAAGAATGCAGGTAAAATCAGAGATCATTATGTTAAATGAAATAAGCCAGGCACAGGAAGACAAGTGCCACATGGTCTCATTCTTATGTGTGACATAAAACAGTTCATCTCAGAGAAGCTGAGCGTAGAATAGTGGAGAAAGCTGGAGAGAGTAGAGGGGAGGAAAGAAGGGAGAAAGACAGGTGACAAATCTGAGTAAGAGGTTCCGAGGGTCTGTGGTACCACAGAGTGACTAGAGGTAACAGTAGTGGGTTATATATCGCAAGACACGACAAGAAAAGATCCTGAATGCTTTAGCACAGAAATGGTAGTTGGGGAGTCAGATGCCTTTGCCTGAATTTAAACATTACATAAACTATACATGTGTCCAAACATCGCATGATATACCCCCAATAAGCACAATTTTTGTATTTTCTTACACCTGTAAATAAATTTAAATTAAAAATTCTTTTTGCACATTTATTATAAATGGGATCTTACTGTTTATCATATTTTATGGATGACTTCATTAAAACAAAATATTTTTGAAGTTCATACTTGATTATTATAGTTTTAGAGTAAGGTTTGAAATTGGATTGTGAAAGTTCTCTAATTTTATTCTTCTTTTTTCAAGAGCATTTTATCTACTTTAGGTCCTTTCTGTTTGCATATAAATTTTAGGATGATCTCATCAATTTCTAAAATAACAAAAACTGTGATTCTGATAAGAAAATGTTAATGATTATTAATTTGAGAAGATTTACCATTTAAAACATCAAATCTTCCAGTCCATCAACATGTAATGTTTATTTAATTTATTTATTTATTCAATTCCCATCACTACTTTAGTGAACAAACCTTACACTGCTCTTGTTAAATTTATTCCTAAATATTTAGTATTTTTGCATGTTATTATAAATGCAATTATTTCTTTTATTTTGGATTGCCATTGCTAATATACAAAAATAGGAGTTTTTATATAACTTATATCCTGTGATAAAAACCATTCCTTATTGTTCCAGTAGGTCTTTTGGTGAATTTTTGAATGTTTTGCTTATCCAAATGTGTAGTCTGATAATAAAACTGTTTTATTTCTTCCTTTCCAATTGGATGGATCTATTTATTTATTTCTCTACTTACCCAGCCTCTATCCACCATTTTATCTACTATTTGGAACATCTGGTTGGTAATGCTGAATAGTAATGATGAGAATGAATATCTTTAATGTGTTCCAGTCTTAAGGAGAAAATATTACATTTTCACTATTTAGCATGATACCAGCTGTAGGTTTTGTAGATGTCCTTGATTATGTTTAGGAAGTTCCGTTTCATTTTTTGTCCATTAAGAGTTTATCAGTGGTGGGTAGATTTTGTCAAATACTCTTTCTGCATGTACTAATTCTACTAAATGGAATATTAATGTATTTAATTATATGCATAATTAATGTATATTTATGAGATAAATCCTCCTTGTTCATGTTTCATATTTTTTATGTAATTGAGGCTTTGTTTCCTAATATTATAGATATTCTTTATATTCACGAGTGATATTGATGTGAAATTTTCATTACTGCCTTTTGTTTTTAATTTCTTTCTAGCTTTAGTATAAAGGCAATACTGGCCTTAGGGAAATACACATCAGTGTTCCCTCCCCTATTTTCTGGAAGTGTTTGGCAAGGGCTGATATCACCTATTTTGAAAATTTTTTGTAGAACTCACAATTAAAACCATCCTGGTTTGGAGTTTTTGCTTGGGATATGTTTTAAATTTCTATTTCAGCTTCCTCCATTGTTAAAATTCTTTGCAGCCTTCTATAACTTCTTAGCAGACATTTGCATTGTATCAACGTTGTCTATCTTGTTGACCTAGGTCTCCTTGTGGTGATGTTGTCATAGTTTACTGCCCACCCATACACTACTCTCTGGCACTGACACAACTGTGACTACAATAGGAGAAAGTGCCACTGTGAAAGACAAGGCTGTCACATTCTTATCTTTGATAGAGACTCGGAAGGGACATGGATTGACAAAGTTCTTTTGCAGCTATGGGCTAGAGAGCAATCTGAGGCCATTCCATCCACACGCTCCTCTAACACAGCACCGTGAACCCTCATACTCACTCATGTTCGGGGAGCTCTGTAATGTCAGAAAAGTACTTGAAAGTGAGGGACTTGTCACTGTATCTTCTGTGGTGACAGATTCATTGCTTATGACATCAGGGATTGTGTTTCCTGTTTATGTAAAAAAAATAAACAGCCATCAGGAGCACAGAAAATCACTGGCAAGTCTTTTTAATATTTATCTTAACATCAAATCCCTACTTGAACATTAGTTGCTGAAGTTGTTCTGACCAAGATTCAGAAACCCAGCATCTTAATGTCCCCCTTTTAGTGATTCAGTTAATTATTTTGAAGAAAATGGGGTTACATAAGGTTGTTCTATGTTTGCTATAACTGATGTCATTTGATCATCAATGTAATTCTATAAAGGAAGTAATCTTTATATCATCTTATTATCATATTATCATCATTTTATACATGAGACTCAGAGAAATCCAGTAATTGCCCCATAGTCACATAACTTGTAATAGAAAAGAACCAAAACCTGCATCTGACACTTTTTGATATAAAAGATATCAGCTGTGCTAAAAAGGGGATTGTAAGGGAAAGGTGGTGGCCAAAGGTGGTGCCATGATTCTCATCTTGCCTGGGACAGACTTTTCAGTCATTTGGATGGCCAGGGATGGAGAGGTCCAGGAAAGAAATACAATATGCTTTTAATTATACTGAGCTAAGTTTTGAAGAAAAAAAAGGAAACTTAACAGTGATAAAAAGATAAGCTGAGTTTTTAAAAGATGACATTGAAAACAATGGCTTTAAACAATCTAAATTTGCTTAAATATCATGAAAAATGATGGATGCTCTTCAGTCTTTTTGGAGTCCAGCACAGGGACACTGGATTGATGAAGAACAGACAGATGTTCCAGTCAGGACATGCTTCGTTCCAACCAGACACGATGCTAACTGGACATGGAGGGAAGGCAGTCTAGTCCACTCCAGTCACAGCAGGATGGGCTGTGCGTGGATTGCCAATGCCTTCTAGGAGGGCCAGTCAGCTTCCAGTCCATGGCAACAAATGCCTACTGTGTAATGCAAGTTCTCAGCACTACCAAGAGACTCATGCTGGAGAAACTGACAGTTTCCAAGACTTCATGAACAGTATATAATTATGTCTTCAGGTAAAACCCTTCAGGAATTGATATATAAACAAAATGGAAATAAATCAAATGTAAGAGAAAGAAATAAAAGGGATATTATAGGAAGGAAAGCAGTCAAATTATTATTATTTGCAGATGATATGATCCTCCACATAAAAGATCCAAAAAATTCTACCAAAAGACTAGAATGAATAAATTCAGTAATGTAGCAGGATACAAAGTCAACAAGCAAAAATCTCGTACACCAATAATAAACTCACCAAGAAAGAAATTGGAAAAACAGTGTCATTCACAATAGCATCAAGAAAAACTAAATTCTTAGCAATTAGTTTAAAAAGGAAGTGAAAGACATCTACAATGAAAACTACAATATTCTGAAAAAGAAGATCAAAGAAGACATAGAAAATGGAACGATATCCCCTGTTCCTAGACAGACAAAACCAGTGTAGTCAAAATGGCCATATTTACAAAACTGATATACAGAATTAACACAGTTCCAATCAAAATATGAATAACATTCCTCATAGAATGAGAGAAAACAATCCTACAATTCACATGGAACCAGAAGAGATCAAGAAGAGCAAAAGCAATCCTGGGCAACAAGAGCAAAACAGGAGCCATCGCAATTACAAACAACATGGTACTGGAAAAAAAAAATCCAGGTTAATGGGTCAAAATAGAAGATTCGGAAACAAGACCAGGAACATTCAGCTACCTGGTCTTTGATAAAGAGGTCAAAAATATACGCTGCAGGAAAGATAGCCTCTTTAACAAATGGTGCAAGGAGAACTGGTTATCCGCAGTCAGAAGACTGAATGTAGAGCTGTATCTTTCACGATGTACTAAACTAAAATAAAAATGGATCAAAGATCTAAGTGTTTTAACTTTTGCTAGAAGATAAAATAGGTAAAACTCTTGACAACATAGGTGTAGATGAGGACTTTCTGAACAGAACCACAATTTACACAAGAAATAACAGAAAAATCAACAAATAGAATCATATCAAATTAAAAATCTTCTGCACAGCATAAGAATAGAATGAAGAGACAACCTAAGAATGGGGAAAAATTTTGCCAGCGATTCCTTGGATAGAGGACTAATATCTAGAATGTATAAAGAACTCAAAAATATTAGACCCTCCAAATTAAAAGACCCAATCAAAATGGGCAACTGAAATGAATAGACACTTTTCAGAAAAAGAAATATAAGTGACTAATGAATATAGTAAAATGTTCAACATCTCTGGCCATTAGAGAAATCCAAATGAAAACAACACATGGATTCCATTTTACTCCAGAAAGAATGGTGCCATCAAGAAGTCAAATAATAACAAATGCTGGTGAGGCTGTGGGGAAAAGGTAATTTTTATACATTGTTGGTGGGAATGTAAGCTAGTACAAACTGTATGGAAATCAGTGTGGAGATTCCTCAAAAAAATAAAACTAAAAATTCCATTTGACCCAGGTATTCTTCTTTTAAGTATCTTTCTGATAGAGTTAAAGACATCATATTACAGTGATACATACACATGCATATAACAGCACAATTCATATTATGTAAGTCTTGGAAGCAGGTTATATGACCATCAACAGATGGATGGATAAAGGAAAGGTAGTATTTACATACAATGGAGTACTACTCTGCTATAAAGAAGGATACATTTTGTGTCTTTTGTAAGAACATAAATGCACCTTGAGACCGTAATGTTGAGTGAAATATCATATACAGAAGCTTTAATATCATATGGTTTCTCATATATGAGAACTAATATAAATAAAGAGCAAAATAAAAGATAGATAGAAAATAGAAAATAGGGAGGTAAATCTTTTGCAAATGGGAAGAGGACCAAGAGATAGAAAGAGAGGAGAGTGAGGGGAGAGAAAGGTGATAAAAAAGAATTAAGATGTGTCATGTCCATACACAAACTCCTCATGAGGAATGTGATCATTATGCACTGCAAACATGGACTAATAAAAAAAAGAAAAGAATCTGCCAGGACTGGCAGAAATATTTAAGGCATTTGAGGGTTTTCCTTCACCACTGGGAAAGTTGTGCTTGATCTCACAATAAAGCAGAGTGGGCCTTCTCTTAAGAAATTCAAAGTTCAACCACAGTGTTAAGCCTGCCTATGGGAGAAGGTGGGGGGCGGGGGGGAATGGACACAAACTTAAGAGGCATCTTGCAATATAAATGGAGAGGGAAATACTTGAAGAGCTGCTGGGTCGTATTGTATAAGGAGAAGGGAAGTCCATGTTTGTGCTAATGTGGAAGTGGGGAAGGCCACCCCAGGGGAAGAAACTTAACACTCAGTGGAGAAACACATAACACATGTGGGTGAGAATGTTGCTTCTCCTTGGAACCCCAACTGACACTGGGAAACATTAGAACAAGTGCATCTTTTCAGACATCTTTGGATGAGAATTCTTCAGCTGAGACAAAACATTGAAAAGCTCTCCTCTGGCCTGAAGGATCCCTAGGGAAAGTTAGGGTGCTGTGGCTCCACCACCACCTCTCCACATCCAGCACCTGGCCTGGCTGGAGGACAAGTGCTTCACACCCCTCACCACCCTGAATGCCAGACATCTTTGCTAGCAGAGGCGCTAACATCAGTGGTGCCTGAGGAGACCTCCATCTCCTGATGGGGGCGCAGTTCCAACCGTAGGAGCAGCCACACAGTGAGCACACCACTGCCATCAGCACCACACTTGCCTGAACTTCTAGAGGGCTTCACACCCGCATGGTTCAGAGACAGTGGGCTTTTTTGACTCCACCATGGTATGGACTATGTTCAAAGTAATGAATCAGAGCCAAGGAAGCTAAGGGAGACTGCACTATGGTCCCAGCCAGAATGAAGTCAACATTGCATTCCAAACTATCATCCAGACACTTCTACATGAGAAATGCACTTACCAAGATGGCCACCTCAGAGAAGCGGTGGAGATAACTGACCCACCAGACCTGCAAACATCAATGTAGAAGCACAAGAAATATGAAAAAACAGTACAATAGGATGACTCCAAAAATATAATAATTGTCTAGCAATAATCCCCAAGAAATCAATATGATTGAAATATCTGAAAAATAATTTAAAGGAATGATTATAAAAGAACTAAGAGATCTGAGAGAATACAAAGAATTAAATAATAGTAGGCCAACAATGCAGGTTATAAATGATGAATTCAGCAGATTAAAAAAAAAACCCAGAAATCTTGGAAATGAAGAGCTCAGTAAGTCAAATGAAAAGTTTGAGAGCCCCAACAACAGTATAAATTAAGAGGCAGAAAACCTATCTATCTGCACTTGAAGGCAAGTCTCAAAATATCTTAGACAAAATAAACAAAGAGGAAAATGAAGAAGAAAGATGAGAAAAAAATAAAAAGAACCTTCAAAACTTTTGTGACATCATTAAATAAACACATGACTAAATTTTTTTAATACAGGAAAGAGAGGAGAGAAAATTAAGGGCCTAGAAAATCTATGCAATGAAATAATACCAGAAAACTTTGCTAATCGTGAGAAAGATATGAATATCCATGTACAGGAGGCTTACTGGACACCAAAAACATAAAATAAAATCTTTTCACCATGGCATATTACAGTCAAATTGTTATAAGTACAAGACAAAGAATTCTAAAATCTTCAAGAGAAAAGTACCATGTCACATATAAGGGCAACCCCATTGGACTAACTGCAGATTTGTAAAGAGCCCTGTACAGCAAAATATGGAGTCTACAAGTTCATACTGATGGCCCCAGGAAGATGTTTCCAAGCACTGGCAAACACTGGAGCAGGAGCTTCTTGAAGATTTGCTCAGATTCTTTTGGTTTCTGTCCTTGGTGTGAAAAGATATATCTCAGATTGAAATAAATTTCAGTCTTAAGTCTGAGAAGGGAAAAAAAAAAGTGAAGGAATGTATGCCAAAGAGCTGAACCATGTAAGAAGTCAAGACTTTGTTTCCTGTGTTACTTCCTTCCAGGGATGAGGAGCTCAGATCATGGAGCCAGGCTAGGTGGAGTCCCTCAGACTCTGGAGGGAACAGAAGAGAGTGGTGAAAGACTGCAGGTGAATAGGACTTAAACTTATAGTAGGACATAAAAAGGAGAGAGAGCTTTATTTGTCTGAGTTTTATATTTCCTTTTCATTTTCCATGTCATTTAAATAGTGGATGAGGTAGGCACTGGAGATCTTTGGTGATAGCCTGGTGAAGTGCTCTCCTCCCACAAACTGGTGCCACCCCAGGGAGCAGGCTTCTCAGAGCTCCCTGTGGTACAGGCCTTGGTGAACTGGGAAAGAGATCTGTCCACTTTCTCACCGCATTTATCAAGGCCAGTGCTGACAGAAACTTGAGAATAATCTCAGGCCAGGAATAAAAGTATACTTATATTTGGAGCAGTCCTTTGTTTAGAAACCACAGAAATCTAATGAGTTGAGATAATTTGGTAGCCTCAGAAGGATCCAAAATTTGGGATTTTAAAAAATCACTTTGCTACAAATGTACAAATAAAAAAATCCCTCTGCTCTTTTTGAAAATTTCACTACATGTGGACGTTGACTTTTCTCTTCCTTAAAGTCTATTATAGTAGTGTTTCTTGGAGTTAGAGTAAATTTTGGTAGATTTCTTCTTTATTTTCTCAGATATGTTGATCCTATTTACCCATAAGGCCACGTATACCATTGAATCATTAGTAACAGTGCTTACTTAGTAACCTTAGATGCTTCTGGAACATCTCAGCTGCACCCTATTCAAAGCTGCAGTTTACAACAGTTAGTAGAGAGGTTCCTGCCAGGCCTGATCAAGTGAATGGGAATGTTTTGTTTGCTTTATGGTTGTAGAATGCACATGAATTTTTTGTTTTATTGTTAAGAGAATTTAAATTACCAGACTTTATCCCAGTCATTTTAAATGGTATTCCTAAAGTGCTGCTTCTCCCAGGCATGAGGGGAAGCCCCAAACACTGCCTCAGGGGGAACAGAGAAGAACAGAGCGTAGGCCGCCTGCCTCACACACAACCATTTCACCCTGCTCACACTGAGTAGCTTAACTCTGTGAAACACTGGCATTTAGGGCTGCTTCATAAGAGTTTATATAAAATTATTTCTGCTGGTTAAAAAATTAGGCAATGATGGCCTAATTTAAAAGTGAGTTTCCTAAAATGGTGACCTTCTTGTCCACAAAGATTCTTCCAGAATTTGTGAGAGCAGGGAACACTTTCTGGTTAATTTTAGGAGGCTAGGACAACCCTGACACCAAAACCAGATATATGTCACAAGAAAAGAAGGCTAGGATGATTTACCCTTTATGAATATAAACACAAAAACCCTGGACAAAATAATACAAATCAAATCTAGCACCATAAAAATGATTATATGTACTCCATGACCGAGTAAAATTTATCCCAGGCATGCAAGCTTGGTTTGACATATAAAAATTAATGTTATATGCCACCTTAATAATCAAAGGATAAAAATTGCATCATAACCTCAATATGGTGAGAAAAGGCATGCCCTTCCATGATAAAACAATAAACAGAGTAGTAATATAATTTGCTCATCTTAAGAAACTCCTGTAACTCACACCATTCATACTGGGGAAGCACTTGCACCCTTCCCTTACAGATAGGAAGGAGGCAAGGACGGACATCCCCTCCCTCCCCTTCTGTCCTGCATAGCACTGGAGGACCTAGCCAGGATGATCAGGCAATAAAATAAAATGAAAGGGTGTTTGTTGAAAGGAAGAAGGAAGACTACCTTTCTTTGCAGATGATGTCATACTGTGTATAGGAAAGCCTAGGAAACACACACACACACACACACACACACACACACACACACGCATGCATGCACATTAGAACCGGTAAATGAGTTCAGCAAAGTGATGCATTTCTGTAAGTAGCTATGAACAGACCAAAATTTAAACTAAGAAAAAGTGATTTCATTTACAAAGGCAAAAATGAAATAAATCATGAGGAATCAATTGAGTTAAAGAAATTCAAATGATTTACCCTGAAGACTATAAATATCATTGAGAGAAACTAGAGACATAGATAAATAGGAAGGCACTCTATGCTCATGGATTGGAAGATGGCACATTGATGAGAATTTACAAATTCACTGAATTTACATGTTAAAGGGGTGAAATTATGGTTTGTGAATTATATACATATACTAGATATGTTTTCAATGGTGGCAACGTGAGTCTACTCACCAGCACTTCCACTTGCTGTTGATGAAGTAACTGGTGACTCCCCGGGTGTGCTGCTGTCTGTCCTTCCTAGTTAGGTAAGAGATGCTGTTGTTACTCATCACCATTTCCTCTCACTTGTCAAGCAACAAGTAAGTCAGTCAGATTAGGGGGGACAGGATCCCTTTGCAGAGGGACTGGGTTAGCTTTTGTCTGTCTTCAATTTTTCTATTTTCCTGCTCCTTTTGTCCAAAGAGGAATGTATGTGATGAACACTTGGGTGGGTGGCCTGATTTTAAACACGTGCAGAAGCACACACTCATGCGTGTGAATGTGCACACACACACACACGCACATTTTTGTATGATAGATCCAAATGGCAAATTTCTCTTGGAGACTGTTACCTGGGTACCATTAAACATACAGAAAAGTATTGCAAAAATTCTAAACTCCAGCCTCTTAAAATTGCCTTATTTTTCCCTATGGAAGAAAATGTCCTGGTCAACAGGATCTGGGAATATCATCTGTTGTTATGAAGAGTGTGTTATTTTGTTAAATTTAGCTATGGTAATGAAAATTCCAAATAAGCATAAGTCATAAAGGAAATTGTGCACTTGTAATTATTTGTTGATTCATGAAACATTCTTAGGAGAGTGTCCAGCTCTTACTGTCTTTCTAATCTGAGTAACATCAAGAATAATTCCTGGCATTTAGTAAATACCATTTTTTTAAAAAAGGACATTGAGGACATGAGGATCAACAAAGAGAAAAGATCTTTCTGTCCACAAACATCTAACTTACGTGTATAGTGTTTACAAGCACAACCCATCAATTTGATACATACTCTGTAATAACATTCTCTTCTCATAAAACACCTAGGAATGCCTCTATCTTGTGGTACTTGGGTTTGGGGGGTGTCCCAGGGTGCTCTACCACTGAGCTACATCTCTACTCCTTTTCGTTTTGAAGTAAATTGCCCAGGCTGGCCTTAAATTGCTATCCTCCTGCCTCAGCCTTCCAAGTAGCTGGACCTCCAGGTGTGTACCACCATACACAGAGCTGAGAATGCTTGTTTATAATAAGGGCTCAATCTCCTCATTGCCTTGATCTATGCAAAACTGAGGAAGTAAGTAGATACTAATTTCTGTGTTCCTAAACTTGTGTATGAATAGTGATATTGTGATTGTTACTGATCCCCAAATATAATCAGTGTTTATAAATAATACACTTTATTTTATTTTTCCAGTCTTAGATTCAATTGACAAAAAGTCATTTAGATTTAAAGTGTAGAATGTGATGTTGGATAGATGCATGCTTTGTGAAATTATTGCCACAATCAAGGTAATTAACATACTCACCACCTCACACAGTTGGCATTTGTGTATGTGTGTGAGTGTGTGTGTTTGTGTGTGTGTGTTTGTGTGTGGTGAGAACAGTGAAGTTACTTTAGATCTATTGATAATTTATGAATATTCACTTTCAAATATGAGTAAGCATTCTTCATACAAATTATGGTGAAATTTTCCCATGTTACCTATGTTAAAATTCTGAAGTATAAATGCATATTATTATTATGAAAAAAAGTCACAGTGACTGATAAATATGATTTCCGTAAATGTTATGTGCAAAAAAGTGAGTAAGTACATTGAATTAGCTAGTGAGCAGAAAAACAGGTTGATGTTAGTATAACATTAAAACAACTATAGCTACTTATTTTAAGGTTGCTGCAGCATTTTGAATTAATAAATGTTTAGATCATGCCATTAGAATACTACAATTCTACTCTGTACAATGGTTTACTGAGCTAGTATTTACAGCATTTTCTAAAATAACCTTTGAGAGGCGGGTTAAATTGAATTCAGGCCACTGTTTCAAGAACATGTCTAACCTGTAATCATTTATATTTTGTGATGATAAAAACACGTGAAACATCAACTTCATCGCATCAAAATTCTGTGCAAAGGAGAAACCGAAGATTGGCATGTGCGGGTATCCCAAAGGAACTCACTTTTTATCCCAACTTAACAGAAAGACAGTGGATTAAAGACGAAAGATGACAAGGTAGCCAAGCCGTTTTACTTCTAAGCAATCATCCAAGAAAACCTGCAAGAACAAGTGTGATGTCTGCCCTCCAGCCTTCTGTACACACTGTCCGCACAGACAGCCCGCGCCTGGCCACACCCAGCACTCTGGACCGCGGCCCACACACCTGCCCCTTTCCTGTCCTGCCCCAGGTGAAGTCAGTTCTGCTTGGCACCGGAAGCTTTGGTATCAGTGCTGAGAAATGTTTATTCCTGCAGTATCATTCTACCATTAAAACATTTGACATTGAATCATGTTCAGTAATAACCACATTTAGAAACAAAATTTCAGTTTGGCTCTTGTATCGCAGGTGTTCGTGTTAGGATGGTGACACGCAGTGTCTGACAGAGGTGATTTTTATCTCTGGCCGTCTGACCTTTGCACAGTGACTCAAAGCCCACTGAGAAAGCCCAGTCCCTTGTCCCTAGCTGGTAAATCCCTGAGAACGGGTTCTCCTCCAGCAAAGCTCTGTCCCGCAGCTGCCCCCAGGGCTATGGGGCTGCGAGAAGAATCTCCCCCGCCCCCGCACTTTTTTCTACTTCTCTGATGGCAGCATTTCTACCACTGGCAAAAGAAAGAACACATCTGTGCTTTCCGTAGACACAGCAGCACGAAGCCAACTGCTTTTGCTCTTTAAACAAAGAAAATGTGATTGGGAAGCCTTAAGATGAAAATAAAGAAGAAATGCATGTTATTTCTTCTGTGAATACTTTCACTGTGGCTAAGAGGACTGCGTTGGCCTCGAGGAAGGAAAACAGAAACTGCTTCACTATGGAGACACCCTTTTGGCCTTATTGTGTCATTTTAAACTGATCATTTTGGAAGACGGGACAATGTATACAACTGCCCCAAACTTAAACCCTCACAGGCTGAGAGTAGGAAGCGAAGCATGCTGGTGCATTGTGTAGAACACCAGCATTTAAGACAAATTCTCCATTCCCTCCAACACCACGTGCTGACTGCATTTCCTGTTGGAGGAGGAGCAGGGCTGAGACCCAGAGATCAGCTCGCCTGAGCCTCCCCACACTCCAGTGACCAGGTAGCACCCACACAAGGAGCTCGAGTCTTCACCCTGCCCCTGCTGTGCTCTGAGCACACAGCCCCTGCCCTGATGCCCAGCTTCTCAGTTTGGACCGTGCTGGTGTGGACCTTGGAGCCAAGAGATTTTGGGGGTTCCATGCAGTGTCAACACCCACCTTCTCTGTGTTGGCAGTTACGGGGGCCTTACTGATGGCAGAGTTAATACACTTTTACCAAATTATTGTGGATTGTCAATTTCATGGCTAGAAATCTGCTGGAAACTCAGAGAGAGGAAGAGGGAGACAGAAGAGAGCAAATACAAGAAGTTATCAGAAACGACAGTGAATGTTTACATTTTAAAAATTTTATTACGGCAGAAAAGACATTGCCATTAACCTCCCTTAAAGTATCCCCCCTCGTCTCAGACACACTTGTCCCACTGTTCTTGCCACTTTCTGAAGCAACTCATGAAGGTCTTTATGAGATGTAATAAAAAATGCAGTGAATGCTGCTTCCAGGTGCCATCCAGTGGAAAGGCAGGCCCATAAAAACATCATTCTGTGTCCTCAACCACCTTAGTCTCTGGACCTGGCACCACGGGACTTCTGACTTTTCCTCAAAGTCAAAATGACCATGAAAGGTCATTGTTTTGAATCAATTCAGGTCATCAAGACAGCTATGACAATACAACCAAAGACACTCAAGAAAGAGGACTCCAGAGTTGCTTCAGAAAGTAGCAAGAAGAATGGGATAAGTACGTTCAAAATGAAGGGGATTATTTTGAGGGGTTCATAGTACCTTCCAACTTTTTTTTTTGTACCAGGGATCAAACTCAGGTCCTTGAGATTGCAAGGCAGGCGATGGAACCACTGAGCTAAATCCCTAGCCCATAGTAATGTATCTTTTATGATAACAATTTTATTTAAATGCACACTGTGGCTTTTGATCACGCCTTATAGTTATACCGTGTAAAAGTATCAGGATACCTGTTCTCAGAACCTGGGAGTACAGGGTTGGGACTATTTTTAAGTATAAATCCAAGTGTCAAGGTGCACACCTGTAATCTCAGCACTCTGGGAGGTTGAGGCAGGAAGTTCAAACCCAATCTAGGCTACTTAATGATTTAGTGAGACCCTGTCTCAAAAAGGGGAGGAGAAGCTGGGGATGCATCTCAGAGAGACTTTGGATTCCATTAAAATTAAAACTACAGTGGGAAGGAGGTGGCTGGAGGTGTCTTGAGCCATGGCTTCCTACCTGTGTCCTTTGGAGTTTCCCTTGGCTGGAGATACAGGTTGTACAATATTCTGGGAATTAAACACCCCATGCTGTTCTCATTGTATAATGTTTCCTGACTTGCTAGAGAAGTTCTAGGAGGATTGGTTTGCTTTCATCTCAGAATCACACATTGCAGAAATAGTAATCTTTGATCATGCACCTTAATCTCCGACCATCTCCACCCTAGTCAAGCCTGGAGGACTGCCCTTTGTTGCTCTGCATGTCAGAGCTTTGTCTCAGAATAAAAATTAAAGGAGGGTTGGAGAGCTGCGCAAGAACTACAGCCATCCATTCATTCAAGATTCCTGATTTTCTGGTCTTTCTGTGAACTTTGCATTCTAACAAGAGTTTCTGTCTCTAGGCAGTTGATGAGCAGGTTTACGTTTAGTCTCTCATTGATTAGTGCACCCAAGTGACATGCCCCACTTTTGGGTGTCACAGGATGAACCATACGTTGCTTTTCACTGACACAACCTTGGGTTTTACTTGAAGGATTCCAAAGGCATTTTAAGCTGTTATGTATAATTAGGCAATCCCTTTAATACCTAGCCAGATATGCTGGATAGGCTTGCTGTCACTCAGTCCAGTGACAGAAATGATGACATTGCCATGGAATCCAACAGAATGAATGTGTCATCAGCACAGAACAACGAACAGATCAATCTGTTCTTAACACAGGTGTGCTGGGCTGGGCCGGTTGTGCAAGTAGGGAACCAGAGCAATGAGGTATTTTTATGACTTAGGCCTGGTGTTTGTTTCTTCTCTAAAAATAAACTATGTTTATGTAATATTCACAATAACTGCATTTTCAAAGAGGAAGCGATCTCCGAGAATATTGGCAAGGAGACCCACTGAGATCCTATGTTTATGTTGAAACCCCAAATCACAGAGGGATCTCAAAATAGTGAAGTGCCACAGACCTTTAGAACAACCCTATATGAGATTCCAGGTTACTTCTTGTATTGAGTTATACAGGCTCTGCTAGTCTTGTTTGTTAGAGATAAAAAGCATTTAAGGAAGAGTTAGTTCTACCTTTAGGAGATGTTTCAGTTGTTGGTTCAGTAATACCATTGGTTGAGTTTGGTGTTGACACAGATATTTTTGTTGTGGAAAGTGCTGTTGGTGCTGATGCAGTAGTAAATGTATTTGTAGCACCTGAAAAAAAGCAAATTCTGTTAAAGTAATTCCATTAATGTTTACATTTATTTTGCTAATCAACCCACTAGTCTATTTAAGTGCAGCAAACTGCATATTTACTGCTGTTAATCCAGTCAGCAGGGCCTGGGTTAGGAACTAATTTTCTAGTTGCACCGAGCTCATCCTTGGTTCAGCATTTGTTCATTGACTCTACCTGCTTCTCATCAGTGGCACAAGTTTTCATGGTGGCCAAGAATAACTATCTGTGTTTCCAAAGCTAGAAGGTTTCTGAGAAAACTTATGAGGAATAAATGTGCGAATCTAAATTGAACAGCATTTTTAAGCCAACTGAACTAACTTTGTGAGATGAAATAATTAAATGAGCACTCCCTGAACACTAAATATTTTCATAGTATGTTGTAATTGTTAGGTAGTAAAATTTCAGCAAATAATAATGTATAATTTCTTGATATGTTCTCTCTTCTCTCTTCTCCCTCTGTCAATATAAAGTATAAAATACAAAAATATTTTATGAGGGAGAGAGAGAGAGATGAAAGAAATACAATAAACTTTAAAGAAAACCAGTAGTTGCAACACGTTTAGATTTTTGCTGATGGAGCCACAATAAATCTGCATTTTGAAGTTATTGATTTTTCTAAATTGTAATTATGCTTGGGCAACCAAAGTCAACAATGTTATTCAAAGGATTTGGAAACAGTATTTTCTTCTATGAGAGGCATTGTTTTCTGTCATTACTTGGCCTGTGTAGAGCACACATAGTGCAATGATGTTGTGCAGTACAGTCAGTTAAAAGACTGAACTTAGAATAATGAAGACGTGTTCTCTCCAAGTCCACCTTGGCATTTTGTAATAGTAAATGGATGCCACTAGTACAAGTTTTAGACCTTCAGTTATATTTAATTTTCTCTTTGAACTTGGCATGTTGGTGAGAGGCGATATCTCAGAGTCACGGGATGACTACACTTGTTTCACTTGAAGGTGTTAGTTCTCAGCACTGTGTCCATGGATCCTGTGCACAGGAGTTTCTTGGTGTGTTCAGCACACAGACACACATGTGGCATGTACAGGAAGGATGAGCTTTACTTCAGAGGTCTATGAACTTGAGCCAAAACATGTTCACTTCTAGACGGACACCTCATGCCCAACCTGATATTCAGAGTTGGTGAGGCCCAGCTGGGTCTTTAGTGGCTGTCTTGTTCTAACCATCCTTCATTTTGCCCTGGATTCTCTCACCACTTATATAACATGATTTCTACATTTATACTGAAATGATGAAACTATTCAAACTGTGCCATTTCAACTGGAAAGCCTGCCTGCAAATAGCTTGAGTGTTCAGTCTCTTGACTTCCTAAATAGCAACAATCTTAATTATGAGCATAATTAATAATTAATTTCTGAGCATAATTAAGATCTTCAGAGATTTCTCTTCCTCTCTCCCTCCCTCCCTCCCTTCCTCTCTCTCTCCTTCCTTTTCCTTCTGTCTTCTACAATACTTATGGGCCTACTGCTTATTCAGAAGCCATGATCAGGTACAGTAAAGACTGTGATGGCCCACACAGTGCCACCCTGTCTGGCAACTCTCTATCTGGTGGGGACATAATAGCTGCATAATAAGCAGTGTGAGCTGCCCTGTGTGAGTTGTATAGACCAATGTTTGCCAAAGTGCTGGTGATGGCACATTTGAGGGCAATGAACTTTCATTGATAGAGTTCAGTCAGAACTTTTAGCAAATGAAAAAGAAAAGGGATGGAACTTTAAGAAAAGGTGCATGTTCAAGAAGGCTCAGGTGGATGACTGGGCCTAAATTCAGTGTGGAGCCTGATTGGGGTCTCATGTTGAGAGAGGAGAACACTCCTCCATACGGGATTGGACAACTATGGGTTAACTGTGTTATTAGGCAACTGTGGGTTAACTAAGTAAATATGCTCGTTGTAAAATGCACCTGAGTGACCATAACAACTTCTGTAATCTGTCACCAAAGGAGGATATCGACTCAGAAAGTCCTGCCAGAACTCTTTGCTGTCCCCATTTCCACTGCTCTGCCTTGTGTAAATCCTGCTTGCTATATTCCCAGGGAAACTCCGTGGAATTAAGCCTCATAGATGTAAAAAGAGGAATATAAGGAAGAACAAACTTCTATTTGGGGCTCTCAAGATTGCCAGGAGTCACTTGCTGAGCCACCGGCATCATTAAAAGCTGCTATTGCTCCTATACTCCTGTTAAAGAGTTATCTGTGCTGGGGTCCTCACTGTTTCCCACTTCAATGTGGAGGCTGTGTTCCTGGAAGAACAACAAACTAAGCTGTGCAGCCTTTGGGTAGACATGTTCCTCCTTCAACTGCCAAGATAAATGAAGTCCAGAGAGCCTCCTTTTGCTCCCCGGACTTGGCAATGAACTGCCATCCACACTCAGCCCATCAGCTGAGCGCCTCCCGATGCACACTCCACATCACTAAGTGGAAGTTTCTTTCGTCTGCAGCACCCACTTCGCTCCCCTTGAGCTGGTCCCTTCTGTACCAAACCACAAGTTGCCCCGATTTGAAAACAGTTTCTGGTTTTGTTGTTCTTGTTGAACAAAGCCTCCTCTTTTTCCCCTTGAACTCTTTGCTGGTGAATTTTGGTTGACAGAGACAATGTGACAGTGACATTGTAGATAATGAGGTTAAATTCTGTTTCAGGGTTTTTGTGTAGGGATGTCTGCATGCATGTGTGTGTGTGGGGGGTGCATGGATGTATGTGTATAAATCTGCATGAAATGAGTGCCTGTGCAGAACATATTTCTAACTGTGATGCCCGTTCAGAATTTGGAAGCTGCTGGATGAACAGTAACTTGAGCAGAATGCATCCACCCTGTGGCCTGAGCCATGAACTCTTCCTGGGAGTGAGATGGAATGAGACCTCCAGAGCTTCTGTTGGAGAGGGAGGGAAAGGGAAGGGCTGAGCAGAGCTCTGCAGTCCGAAGGAGGGTAGCCTGGGAGGACTTGGCTGGGCTGCACTGTGCTGGGAGAGGACAGTGGGCATTGTTTAAGAGAACCCGGGGGCCCAAGGGCAGAGGATAGAGCACCAAACCTGGGGCCTGGGGTTTAGGAACTCAGCGGGAGTCCTGGGAAGACTCCCAAGCAGAAATCCCACGTCAGGAAAATGACGAGGAATAGAAGGAGTGGAGAATGAGAAGACAGCAGGTGAGCCAAACTGTGAGCCCCTGGTTTCTACTGACTAAGATCTCTGCCCTCTGGAAATCATCATCTTACACCAAAGCCACACGATGACTGCTTGTGGGCTCCAAGCAGGTGAATTCTGTGGGTACTGCACTGAGACATGCCTGGGTCTTTAACCACCACAGAGCTGGCCCCAGAGGGAAGGTGGCTGCATGGTGCACCCTATCCTAGTGCCCCTGCTTGGTGCCTGTGACAAGATGTGACACAAAAAGGAGGAATGACTCCCTGCACGGATGCTTTGCCCTTTGCTACCTCTAATGAGGAAGTGGACAAAACACAGCATGTTTTCCTTTAAAAAATTGACAAATGTTCCACAGACACTCATGTTTGTGTCTTTGTACACACACACACACACAAACACACACTTCCACAATAGACTTAAAAGCTTTATAGGGAATTTTGCATGATCTAAGGAAGATCAGTTTTGCTTCTTCTAGGTCAAAACAAACCCTGAAACGCAGAATTCCAGTCTTTGAGAAAAGGAGGGTTTTATACATTCCAATAGAACAAATTTTTGAATTTTCTTTCTTGGAAAATGTGTGAAGTTTTTGAACATTTCAAAGGATCATAGCACCAGTTAGGAGAAAATTCTACTTTATTTCTTTCATCTGCCTTTATTAGATGCTTTGAAAAAAATCTGCCTTTGTTTCCAGTTCTGCTGTCGGAATCCGTGGCAGGCACTCACTGTCTGAGGAAATACCTATGTGGCTGGCTTTACTCACAGACTGTATTTCAGAAGTGAGGTTGAAGCTCTCAAAGGAAACACAAGAATAATTTCTTCAGAAATGTATAATTATATTCTGGGAAAATACTCTTTGCCAAATGATCTTACACATTCTCTATTGGATAATAATAATAATTTCACAAACTAGATAAACTAATCTATGGAAATGATGGTAAAACCATTTTATTTCTTGACATCTCAAAATGCATTATTTCTACAAATCCATGTTTTCATCCAGTGCAAACTTCTAGACAATCTCATCTCCTCAGATCTTAAAAAATTTTAGAGATTTTTATCTTGAAAAAAAGTAATTGCAAATTTAAGTATGAATTTGTGGATATTTGTCTCCTTATGGATCACTGTGTATAATAAACATACATCTGATTCTTAATTTAAATGTAACATTTCTTTGTGTTACTGGAGTCTTTTAAATGATAAGCAGGTTGATTTTTCATACCCATTTGTCAGTAATTGCTAGCATTATATTCTTGCTGTTTAATAAATATTGTATACACTGACTCTTAGTAAATGATCATTAGTGAAATTCAAGTTGAAAATTTCAAATTTAAGTTGAAAAATTTACATATTGACAATACAATAAGTATACAAATGTAAGACATTTACATGTAAATATGATAAAATGTATAAAATAAATGCAAATAAAATAAGGCATTATTTTCTGTAGTCCTATCAAAACAGTAGTTTATTGAATGACACTACACCAATTCTTTTTGGTGATCAATTTCATATTAACACAGCTTTACACCAATGGCATTCCTTCTGTTTTGACATAAGAGAATTGAATTTGCTTCATTGTTGATCAAACTAGGTACAATTCATTTTAAAAATAATTTGTATTAACAATTATGTGATGATGTAGTCAATTATTTCTTCTATTTACATTGACCCAAAATTTTTACATCTCATATGTGAGTTATTTACATTTGTCTCAATAAACATTTTAAAGCATCTATTTCAACAGGAATTAAAAAAAATTCACAATGTACGTTTTTCCTAGAGGAACATAGAGATTGTTTTGATACTCAGCTGTTCATA